AGTAAAACCACAATGAGATACTACTACATGTATATTCACTAAAATGGCAAAAATTAAAAAGACTGACAACACCAAGTACTGGCAAGGATGTAGAGCAACTGGCACTCCCATACATTGATGGTAGAAATGTAAAACAGTACAACCACTTTGGGAAACAATCTGGTAGGTTCTCATAAAGTTAAATACACTTACCACACAACGCTGCCATTCCATTCCTAGGTATTTACCCAAGAGAATTAAAAACATATGTTCACACAAAGACTTACGTATGAATGTTCCAAGCAGCATTATTCATAATAGCTGCTGGAAACAACTCAAATGTTCACCAATAGCTGAAGAGAAAACTACACTGTGGATTATGTATACAATGAAATAGTACTCAGCAATAAAGAGAGATAACTATTGGTATTACAACATGGTATTCAATCTCAGAAACATGCTAAGTGAAAGAAGCCAGACACAAAAGATTACAACTATACTGGTATGATTCTGTGTATCAGAAATTCTAGAAAAGGCAGATCTAATCTGTGACAGAAAGCAGGTAAGAGGGAGGGAAAGTGATTGATTGCAAAGGAACATGTGGGGACTTTTTGGAGTGATGGAAATGGTTCTATATTTTCATTATGGTGGTGGTTACCTGGGTTTGTTTGTCAAAATTCATCAAACTGTATATTTAAAATAGGTGCATTTATGTAAATTATTCCTCAATGAACTTGATTTAAATTTATCTCTCATTCAACAAAAATATAGCTAAAACAAGGAAGATTTTAGGAGCCAAATGGAGCTAGGCAGACCCCAGTTTCAGAAGGCTAGAGGTCAAGCTTTGGAAATGGGGAGAAGGTAAGCAGCTCATCTGCCCAAATCACAGACCAAAGGAACAACTTTCCCTGTCTGTCCTCAGATTCACTCCAACTGTAGGTCTAGCTTTAATCTACAGTGTTTCAAGAGGAGGGTACTACAAACCTCCAACAACTGCTGACTGGGAGGAACACAAAATTTTAGGCCACTCCTTAGTCTCCACTGCAAAACTTCCTCCCTAAAGAAGCCCCCTTAAAAAGGCAGGGCTGGCAGGTGTACAGCTCACCCTGGTGCCCAGGCATTTTCTTCACAGGCTTTTCATAATTTTTTAAATGCAGTTACATATATAATTCTAAATTTCC